GGCTCGTTTTCGGCACGGAGGTTGCGCTGGTTTCTGGCACAGAGGTCGGGCTGGTTTTTGGCAAAGAAGTTGTGCTGGTTTCTGGCACGGAGGTTGTGCTGGTTTCTGGCACAGACGTCGGGCTGGTTTTCGGCACAGAAGTTGCACTGGTTTCTGGCACGGAGACCGAGCGTGTACTAGATGTGATGCTGGTTGAGGGGTGCACATGCACTGAGCTGATGGTGCCGTGCTGTGTGGGAGATGAAGGGATTCCTGTGGTCCAGGTAAGCAGTGTCTGGGTCGTGGTCTCCTCTCGGGTGGAATGTGTGGTCTCAGACGTCACAGGGTGCGTGGTGCTTCCACACACATCCACTAGCTCGCAGCACTCGATCCGGATTTCATAGTTATAGCAGATTGGGGGCAATTGGTTCCTGTTGAGGCACATCAGCCCCACTCTCTTGTCACAGATCACGTCCTGCCCCAGCTCCTCCAGTGGGACGTTTGGGAAGAACTGTGCCCTGCACTCCACTTTGCTGGGCTTTTCACAAAACTTATGTCCTTTGGATCTCAAATCTTGAAAAGTGTCGAAATCTCCACCGTTTATACCAGGCTCGGGGTAGCTGCTGTCAAACCACTGGGTCCAGTTGCACAACATTTGTAAACAAGTCTCATGTGTTGTTGAAACTGACATTGGACTCAGAGTCAAGGGGGTGCTTTTCAGAGCTGTAGTGGTGCCTGGGGCAGGTGTGGGAGTACTTGGGGTGAGTGTCGTGGTCACTGGCATGGGTATGGGAGTACTTGGGGTGGGTGTCGTGGTCACTGGCACGGGTATGGGAGTACTTAGGGTGGCTGTCGTGGTGACTGGCACAGGTGTGGGAGTACTTGAGGTGGGTGTAGGAGTACTTAGGGGGGTTGTCGTGGTCACTGGCACGGGTGTGGGAGTACTTGGGGTGGGTGTCGTGGTGACTGGCACGGGTGTGGGAGTACTTGGGGTGGGTGTCGTGGTGACTGGCACGGGTGTGGGAGTACTTGGGGTGGTTGTCGTGGTGACTGGCACAGGTGTAGGAGTACTTGGGGTGGGTGTCGTGGTGACTGGCACGGGTGTGGGAGTACTTAGGGTGGTTGTCGTGGTGACTGGCACAGGTGTGGGAGTACTTGGGGTGGTTGTCGTGGTCATTGGCACAGGTGTGGGAGTACTTGAGGTGAGTGTCGTGGTCACTGGCACGGGTGTGGGAGTACTTGGGGTGGGTGTCGTGGTCACTGGCACGGGTGTGGGAGTACTTGGGGTGGGTGTCGTGGTCACTGGCACGGGTGTGGGAGTACTTGGGGTGGTTGTCGTGGTGACTGGCACGGGTGTGGGAGTACTTGGGGTGGTTGTCGTGGTCACTGGCACGGGTGTGGGAGTACTTGGGGTGGTTGTCGTGGTCACTGGCACGGGTGTGGGAGTACTTGGGGTGGTTGTCGTGGTGACTGGCACGGGTGTGGGAGTACTTGGGGTGGTTGTCGTGGTCACTGGCACGGGTGTGGGAGTACTTGGGGTGGGTGTCGTGGTCACTGGCACGGGTGTGGGAGTACTTGGGGTGGTTGTCGTGGTGACTGGCACAGGTGTGGGAGTACTTGGGGTGGGTGTCGTGGTCACTGGCACGGGTGTGGGAGTACTTGGGGTGGGTGTCGTGGTGACTGGCACGGGTGTGGGAGTACTTGGGGTGGTTGTCGTGGTGACTGGCACAGGTGTGGGAGTACTTGGGGTGGGTGTCGTGGTCACTGGCACGGGTGTGGGAGTACTTGGGGTGGTTGTCGTGGTCACTGGCACGGGTGTGGGAGTACTTGGGGTGGGTGTCGTGGTCACTGGCACGGGTGTGGGAGTACTTGGGGTGGTTGTCGTGGTGACTGGCACGGGTGTGGGAGTACTTGGGGTGGGTGTCGTGGTCACTGGCACGGGTGTGGGAGTACTTGGGGTGGGTGTCGTGGTGACTGGCACGGGTGTGGGAGTACTTGGGGTGGTTGTCGTGGTGACTGGCACGGGTGTGGGAGTACTTGGGGTGGGTGTCGTGGTCACTGGCACGGGTGTGGGAGTACTTGGGGTGGTTGTCGTGGTGACTGGCACGGGTGTGGGAGTACTTGGGGTGGGTGTCGTGGTCACTGGCACGGGTGTGGGAGTACTTGGGGTGGGTGTCGTGGTGACTGGCACGGGTGTGGGAGTACTTGGGGTGGTTGTCGTGGTGACTGGCACGGGTGTGGGAGTACTTGGGGTGGGTGTCGTGGTCACTGGCACGGGTGTGGGAGTACTTGGGGTGGTTGTCGTGGTGACTGGCACGGGTGTGGGAGTACTTGGGGTGGGTGTCGTGGTCACTGGCACGGGTGTGGGAGTACTTGGGGTGGGTGTCGTGGTGACTGGCACGGGTGTGGGAGTACTTGGGGTGGTTGTCGTGGTGACTGGCACGGGTGTGGGAGTACTTGGGGTGGGTGTCGTGGTCACTGGCACGGGTGTGGGAGTACTTGGGGTGGTTGTCGTGGTGACTGGCACGGGTGTGGGAGTACTTGGGGTGGGTGTCGTGGTCACTGGCACGGGTGTGGGAGTACTTGGGGTGGGTGTCGTGGTGACTGGCACGGGTGTGGGAGTACTTGGGGTGGTTGTCGTGGTGACTGGCACGGGTGTGGGAGTACTTGGGGTGGGTGTCGTGGTGACTGGCACAGGTGTGGGAGTACTTGGGGTGGGTGTCGTGGTGACTGGCACGGGTGTGGGAGTACTTGGGGTGGTTGTCGTGGTGACTGGCACGGGTGTGGGAGTACTTGGGGTGGGTGTCGTGGTCACTGGCACGGGTGTGGGAGTACTTGGGGTGGTTGTCGTGGTGACTGGCACGGGTGTGGGAGTACTTGGGGTGGGTGTCGTGGTCACTGGCACGGGTGTGGGAGTACTTGGGGTGGGTGTCGTGGTGACTGGCACGGGTGTGGGAGTACTTGGGGTGGTTGTCGTGGTGACTGGCACGGGTGTGGGAGTACTTGGGGTGGGTGTCGTGGTCACTGGCACGGGTGTGGGAGTACTTGGGGTGGTTGTCGTGGTGACTGGCACGGGTGTGGGAGTACTTGGGGTGGGTGTCGTGGTCACTGGCACGGGTGTGGGAGTACTTGGGGTGGGTGTCGTGGTGACTGGCACGGGTGTGGGAGTACTTGGGGTGGTTGTCGTGGTGACTGGCACAGGTGTGGGAGTACTTGGGGTGGGTGTCGTGGTCACTGGCACGGGTGTGGGAGTACTTGGGGTGGTTGTCGTGGTGACTGGCACGGGTGTGGGAGTACTTGGGGTGGGTGTCGTGGTCACTGGCACGGGTGTGGGAGTACTTGGGGTGGGTGTCGTGGTGACTGGCACGGGTGTGGGAGTACTTGGGGTGGTTGTCGTGGTGACTGGCACGGGTGTGGGAGTACTTGGGGTGGGTGTCGTGGTCACTGGCACGGGTGTGGGAGTACTTGGGGTGGTTGTCGTGGTGACTGGCACGGGTGTGGGAGTACTTGGGGTGGGTGTCGTGGTCACTGGCACGGGTGTGGGAGTACTTGGGGTGGGTGTCGTGGTGACTGGCACGGGTGTGGGAGTACTTGGGGTGGTTGTCGTGGTGACTGGCACGGGTGTGGGAGTACTTGGGGTGGGTGTCGTGGTGACTGGCACAGGTGTGGGAGTACTTGGGGTGGGTGTCGTGGTGACTGGCACGGGTGTGGGAGTACTTGGGGTGGTTGTCGTGGTGACTGGCACGGGTGTGGGAGTACTTGGGGTGGGTGTCGTGGTGACTGGCACAGGTGTGGGAGTACTTGGGGTGGGTGTCGTGGTCACTGGCACGGGTGTGGGAGTACTTGGGGTGGTTGTCGTGGTGACTGGCACGGGTGTGGGAGTACTTGGGGTGGGTGTCGTGGTCACTGGCACGGGTGTGGGAGTACTTGGGGTGGTTGTCGTGGTGACTGGCACGGGTGTGGGAGTACTTGGGGTGGGTGTCGTGGTCACTGGCACGGGTGTGGGAGTACTTGGGGTGGGTGTCGTGGTGACTGGCACGGGTGTGGGAGTACTTGGGGTGGTTGTCGTGGTGACTGGCACGGGTGTGGGAGTACTTGGGGTGGGTGTCGTGGTCACTGGCACGGGTGTGGGAGTACTTGGGGTGGTTGTCGTGGTGACTGGCACGGGTGTGGGAGTACTTGGGGTGGGTGTCGTGGTCACTGGCACGGGTGTGGGAGTACTTGGGGTGGGTGTCGTGGTGACTGGCACGGGTGTGGGAGTACTTGGGGTGGTTGTCGTGGTGACTGGCACGGGTGTGGGAGTACTTGGGGTGGGTGTCGTGGTGACTGGCACAGGTGTGGGAGTACTTGGGGTGGGTGTCGTGGTGACTGGCACGGGTGTGGGAGTACTTAGGGTGGCTGTCGTGGTGACTGGCACAGGTGTGGGAGTACTTGAGGTGGGTGTAGGAGTACTTAGGGTGGTTGTCGTGGTCACTGGCACGGGTGTGGGAGTACTTGGGGTGGGTGTGGGAGTACTTGGGGTGGGTGTCGTGGTCACTGGCACGGGTGTGGGAGTACTTGGGGTGGTTGTCGTGGTCACTGGCACGGGTGTGGGAGTACCTGGGGCCGGTGTGGTGGTACCTGGAGCAGGCGTTTTGCTAGTTGTAGAGACAGTGTGTGGGCCCGTTGTGGTGACGGGCATGGTCCTGACCCCCTGTGTGGGCTCCGTTTCCGTTGTCCGGGACGTTGCAGGAGTGGTGGTCAGACAGGCCCGGGGGGAGCAGCACTGGATCCTGATCTGGTAGTTGTGGCAGAGCCCCGAAGCCTGCTTGCGGTTGTAACAGGTCAACCCCCTCGTTGGGCTGCACTCCACGTGCTGCCCCAGGACTTCGATCGGTACCTCGGGGGCACCCTCGGCCCGGCACTCCACGCTCTGCGGCGCTGGGCAGACCTTGTACCCGTGGGCACGGATGTTGTCCAGTGTGTCGAAGTCACCGCTATCGATGCCCCGTCCCGGGTGACTGACGTCCAGCCACGGTGACCACTGGCAATCTTCCCCACAGGCCTGGCGGGGGTGGAGAGAGCTCGTCGGAGGACTGGAGGTCGTGCCCGGGGTGGAGGACAGGGTGCTGCTCCGAGTGCTTGGGGGTGCCGTGCTCTTGGTAGAGCTGTGGCACGTGCGGGACGGACGTGTTGAGCTCACGACTGAGGGTGGAAGAGAAGGCGGGAGGCTAAGTCTCTGCGGCTCCTCGAGGCACCCTGCCACCCTTCGTCCCTACCCCCGTCCATCAGCCGCCTTGCGCGTCTCACTGTGTCAGTCTGCATGACTGTCCCCACCTATGATGGGAGCAAGGGGAGCACAGGGACCAAGTCCCCAGGACACACTGGACACAGGGCAGGTGTGGAGCCCACAGCGTTGATGACGTTTATACCGTGAGCAGAATTTGCACTCTGGGGGAAGGTCTGCTAGGGCTCTAAAGACCCCCTCCTTAAGAGGCAGAGGGGCTGGGGCACGTGACCCTCAGTGCGGCCTAAGAAGGGTGGGTGGCAACGACAAGCCAAGGCCTCCCCAGGGGTGCTCCCGGCAGCCCTCCTCCCAAGGGCCTACCTGAGGTCCCTTTGCTTGGAGCCCCTGCCCCATGCCAAGACCCCCGGCCCTGACGGCGCAGCTAAGGGCGCCAGTCGCGGGGCGTGTTGGATGAGGGCGCCCTTCCCGGCTGCAGAGGCGAGGCCCCTCCTGGATTCTCAGCACGAGGGACAGCCCCGCCTTACCAAGCGGGAATGTGGAGAAGGAGAAGGTGGTTGGCGGGGCGGGGGTGCTGGGGCTGCAGATGTAGACCCTCCTGTCGATGGTGCCGTTGGCCAAGCAGTGGGCGGAGATGCAGCCCCCTGTGCCATCGGTCGTGTGGTAGATGACGTCTCCTGGCCGGAAGCGCCGCCCGTCATAGATGCAGACACAGGCTGTTAGGAGGAGGAGGTGCCAAGCACGTTAGGGGTTGGGGGGCAGGTGGGGACCCGGAGACCCCAGACCCAAGGAAGACCGCCTGCCACTCACCCTCGGTGTCGTAGGCACACTGCACGCCACTTTCGGTGCAAACGCTGGTGACAGGAGGGAGGAGGTGAGTCTGGGGGCCAGTGCGTTGCTCCTGTGCCGGAGCCGCCCCTCAGCCCCGGCTGCCGGGCACGGAGGCCCCTTCCAATCAGTGACCAATGGAAGCAGCCGTCTGGCACGCCAGGGAGCCCCACTGACAGTCCGACGGCCATTTCCTGTCCGGAGGTCCTCGGGGTGGCGGCATCGCCCCCTCCCACTCCTCTCCCTTCCCTTCGACCCCTCAGGCTGCCCACCCCCAGCCTGCTCCCAGCCGGACCCCACAGGAGACCCAGGCTGCAGCAAGGCCCCGAGGGCGGTGGCCCAGGCTCCTCGCCCCTCAGGCCAAGGACTCACCAGGACTGGCAGTTCTTGTCAGATGGCACCGTCTCGCCCGGCCGGTATGACTTGCCTTGGACACGGCAGGGTGGTGGCGGGGAGGGTGTGGGACACACTGCCACACACTGCATCTGGTCCTCATCGAAGATGGGGGCCTCTGGCGGGCACTTGGGGTAGCAGCCTACAGGCCAAAAAGGCCTGAGTCCCAGCCAACCACCTGCCCAACAGCCTCACCCCCACGGCCTTGGTTCGGTCCCCAGCACTAGGCCTCACCCAGAGCCCGCTGGGTGCATGAGGCTGCACCCACAATGGCACCTCAAGGGGTTGGGACCCTAGGACCCCAGGACAACCCTGGCCATGACCCCCAAGACCCCAGGCAGCCCCTCTGACCAGCAGGGCAGCAGCTCACCTTCCAGGCCCCGTAGGTCATGCAGACAGCGGCCACTCGGGTTCCGGCAGGTCCTCATGCAGGGCGCGCCGCACGGCCGGTAGTGCCACTCGCACTGGCCCTCGCGGTTGTAGTAGTCGCAGAACAGGGCTGCAGGCGAGGGGGCAGGCTCAGCGCCCGGCTCCGGCCAGAGCGAGCCACCCAGCAGCCCCGGGTGCAGTGCTGCCCGGGGAAGGATGGCCACACACTGGCCGGCTGAGCGGCCCCTGCACCCCGACCTCTGACAGAGTCATTTCCCTCCCCTGCCCCTCCCGGATGGGGCCTCGGAGGGTAACGGCCTCGAATGCCCATGACCAGATGCAGCAGAGTCCACCTGTCAGGGTGGGGGACTCTGGCCAGAGCAGCTGCCCACTACACTCCCCTCCAGCCAGGTTCTAAGTGGGCGGGGTGGGGGAGCAGGGCTCTACGGACCCCTCTGGGTTCATTCTGCCATCTCTCCATTGACACCTCTCCCCCCTTTCAGGTTCCTTTCCATCACCTCCTGCCCCACACATGGGCAACCAGCCTTAAGCGCACACCACTCCGTCACTCCCTGGGGCCCCGCCCTGCCCTGATGACACATTCTGTGAACTCACGGCAGATGTCCGGGGTCCGCCAGGACACGCACACGCCCACATCGTGACAGGCCTGGGCGTAGGCAGCCACGGCCGTGCAGAGACACTCACAGTCGCCCCCAGAGTCACAGGCACATGCGTCGCCCACACAGGCCTCGTAGTACTTGGCAGGCTCCACCTAGCGGGGAGAGAGGCTCGGGATTCGGGGCCGGATTCCCCAGCGCTGCTGAGAGACCCGTGGCCACGCCGCTTCCCCCGGCGCTCAGGGAGAGCAGATGCGTGGTCCCACAGGGCTGACCACGGGCTGGTCCAAAAGGTGGCAGCTGATGCCAGCCCCACGTCCGTCCCGTCCTCCCCAGGCGCCCCGGGAGCACCCGCATACATGGGCGTGGCAGGCGGCAAAGGTGGCGCTGGTGAGGATGCTGCACTGCTTCTGGGCCCAGGACTTGCGGTACGGGTTGGCGGTGCAGGGGTCCCGGGGGGCCGGGGCGTCGGGGCAGGACGGGGAGAATTTCCAGCTGTTGCCAAACTCCAGGGCGTTGCCCACCACGGACTGGCTCCGCGTGGTGAAGTCATTGACGGCATTGTCGTCAAAGTTCCCACACAGCCCGCAGACCCGGCCCTACAGGGGGTGGGGGGGAGGCGGGAGGCATGGGGGAGCTCAGAGCACATGCCTCCTGGGTCCCAGTTCCTTCCCCAGGGACTACATGTCCCCAGGACCCCAGGGAGGAGGCTGGTGCTCTGCCTTTGTGTCTCCGTGTATGGCCCTGCTTAGCGCTTGGGGCCACGGGGGCGTCCCTCCTGTAGGAAAGGGGTCCCCCAAAGACTGGGTCAGGTCCTGCAGGGACTGGTGAGCGTGGCCTCGTGAGGAGGCAGGAGGGGTCCTCCCCCAGAGCCTCCAGGGGTGCATCCTGTGACCACAGCCTGGAGGGACTTCCAGCTCTGGGAGGAGCCACAGGACACAGTGGACACAGACGACCCCCTGCCTGCCGCCCCCCTCGAGGCGCTGGCGAGTCCCTCCTCTGTCCCCATCCGGCACCCTCCCAGCCAGCCCTTGGTCCCGGTGAGGGCAGCAGGGGCCCACCTTGAACTCAGGGCTGAGTTTGAGGAAGATGGTGGTCTTCCTGTCCCACAGCAGCACCAGGCCGGCCTCAGTGTCCACCACCAGGTAGATGCCCATCTGGCGGATGGAGTAGGGGGCCTCCTGCCCCTCCCCCTTCTGGATCACCTCCACGTGGCCGCCACTCAACCTCAGCTCGTAGCTCTGGGGGGAGAGGGGTTCCTCAGGCCCGTCCCTGCTCACCTTCCAGGCGTTCTCCAGGGCCTCTGAGGGGGTGCCCCCGCTCCCACCCGGCCCCCCACTCACCCCCAGGAAGAGCTTGATGGCCTTGGAGCAGGTGACACCCGTGGTCCCGCAGGGGACGTTTTCGGTGACAACACGGAAGGTCCCGTTGGCAGTGCCATTCTGGCCGCAATGGTCCTGGGGAGAAACGGAAGCTGACGCGGCAGCGGGGGGGAGGGGAGCACCTGGGACAGCCTGGGCAGCGTGCGGGAGCCAGGGGACCTTGTACCTGAAGCAGAGTGTACTCGCAGTCGCCGCTAAAGCTGTAGCGCTGCCCGTCAAAAGTGAGGTAGTGGCTGTCCCCGTACACGGCGCAGGTGGCCAGGCAGGGCTCGTGTGTGCACTGCCACATCCTGTTCTTACAGGTGCTGGGGGGCGGGGGAGGGGGGCAGTCAGCCCAAAGCTGGGGCCGGAGCTCTCTGGGGAGGGGTCTTAGGGAGGGGTCTCAGGGACCCACTGGGGACGGGTCTCAGGCCCAGCCGGCGGGGAGGGGTCTCAGGCCCAGCCGGGGGGGAGGGGGAGGTTTCCTGGGGCTTGGCTGGGGTGGGGTCTCGGGGCCCCGCGTACCAGGTGTTGCAGCCCACCCAGATAGTCTGGCCGGGCAGGTAGCTCGCCTCGTCATGCACACAGGGACAGTCCTCCACAGCAACGCAGCCGCCCTCACCATCGGCCACCAGCCCGTCGGGGCACACGCAGCCGGGCTCACACCGGGAGCTGTACTGTGGGGCACAGCGCACACAGCTCAGGGGACCGGGGATGGATAGCAGGGGTCCCCCCCCCCGTGGCCCCCAGCGGGCCAGGACAGTGTTCGGGCAGGGCTCTTCCTGGGCCCAGCCTGAGAGGGCCACACGGCAGGCTCCCGCAGGGGGTCCCTGGGGGCTCAGGGGACACTCACACAGTCCATGTCCAGGGTGAAGCAGCTCTTCTGACAGCTGGCCCCGGCGGCGCCCGGCGTGGCATTGCGACAGTCGACGTAGACCATGGGCGGGGTGCAGACTGGGGAGGCAGGGGCTGCTCAGGGCTTCCCCAGCCGCCAACCACCAGGCTGGCTCTGAGAGCCGGGGCTCTGCGTGTTTCCCAGCAGCCGGGTGTGCGCTGCCCTGAGACCCGGCCACCGGGGTGCGTGTGCATATGCGCGGCCTGCTCCCACCCACCCCCCGCCGCCACCCCTTCCCTGAGCCCAGAGGGCACAGACCGGGCCTGACAGAGAAGCCCATCAGCACCCACCAGCCACACTGACCCAGGGCAGGGTCCGCCCTGAAGCCTGGCGTGGAGATGAGAGCCCCTCCCTCTCGCTCTCAGGGCTCACCTGGGGCAGGAGCCTGGCCTCCGATGCAGGTCAGCAAGCCTTGCGTGCACGTGCTGGGAGGAGAGGGGGGGTCAGAGGGTCCCCCCACCTAGGCTGCCCTGCCCCCCCCAGGCCCAGCCGGCAGCGGCTCTTACCAGACGGCCCCACGCTCATGCAGAGACTCCCCACTGGGGACCACAGAGCCCTCGTGGTAGCAGGGACAGCTGGTGGCCGGCACACACTTGCCCGCTTCATCCATGAAGGTGCCTTGGGGGCAAGCGCAGCCGTCCACGGGGACAAAGCTGATGCCGCAGGTGACGTCCTCGTGATTCCGGGCCCGGCAGGTGGGCTGGCAGGTGCTGATGTGGTAGTGGTAGGTCAACGACTTCGGGCAGGTGGCCATGGGCTTCGCTGCAGGATGCCAGGCAGGGGCGGCACTCAGAGCAGGGCAGCAGCCACCACTCCGTCCCCAGACACCCCCACTTCCCTACCCGCAGCAGGCCTGCCCCAACTGCGGGGTCCCAGGCCTGCATGGAAGCCCCACGCGGGGACAGTAGCCACGGAGCGTGTATTCCTGGGCCTGGGGACACTCACTGCACACGCCGTCCCTCCAGCCGCTGAGCAGCACCCCCTTGGCGGCACAGGCGTGCACGTAGGCGGACAGGGCCGCACACAGACAGTCCTCGCTCTTCTGACAGTTACACGTGTCGAACATGCAGTTCTGGGGACAGGGCCGTGGTCACCCACACGCAGCGAGCATCCCCACACTGCCCCCCCGCCTCCGCTGGGACTCCCCCTCCAGCTCGCACCAGGGGCCCCACACCCTCAGCAGACAGACCCCGCCCACGTGTGCTGGAAGGGCTCCAGCCTCTAATCTCTGTACCTAGCAGGTCCCAGCCTGGGCCAGAGGGGACAGGTGCAGGGAGGGCATTACCGAGTGGTAGGTGCTGGGGCTCACGGCGGCGTGGCACTGGACGAAGGGGCCGTGGGGGTCCGTGAGTCGGGAGCACCAGTGCTGAGCGTACTTCTCTGTGGACAGAGGAGTGGGGGAGGTTGGCGGGGCGGACAGCTGGCGTCACGCAGAGAACGGAGCCTGGAGCGGGTGGGCTCCCAGGCTCCTTCCCGAGGGCCCGTCTGTGGTCGGCAGGCACACTTAGGACCGCCTCCACCACCCCCACAACACCCTGTTCCTTTCCTTCCAGAAGTTGCCGCAGCTGCTGGGGAGTTTGCCCGTGTACCACCTGAATCGCTCCTTCGGGGCCAGAGTAGACCTCCGTGGCCTGGGGGTCACCGGCACACGGCAGGGCCTGGAGCCACATGGATCCACGTACCGTTCTCCACGCTGAGGGAGCAGGGGTCCTCGAAGGTGTTCTTGACGTTGGGGCAGGCGGCCTGGGTCTTCCAGGTGTTGGCGAAGGCGGCAGCCGTGCCCTCCACCACGCCGCTGAGGGCCCGGAAGTCGTCGGCCTGGTTCTGGTTGAAGTTCCCGCACAGGCCTGGGGCAGGAGGGCAGCGTGAGGCCCCGGGGGCCCCGGCCGCTGAGGGTGGGCCCCGGCGCCCAGGGCAGGCGGCCCCTCTTACCGCAGGTCAGCCCTCGGAGCTCGGGCGCCAGCCTCACGAACACCTGCATGGTGGGTACCAGCTGGATGTCCACCTGCAGGCCCAGGTTGGTCTGGGCGATGATGAAGAAGGTTGAGGGTCTGAAGAGTGTGACGTTGGCTGTGGACACGGGGACAAGGTCTCAGTGGTGTGTGAAGAGCGGCACTCCTGGAGGGACAGGGCCGCAGCCTCACCTGCTGAGATGGGCGTCTGGGTGTAGATCTGGTTGACAAACACCTCCCCACCGGCCTTGACCGTGATGACCTGGGAGCAGCACATAGCAGGGACGGGGTGAGCCAGGGCTCTGCCAGCGCCCCAAGTCGCCCCAGAGCCCGTGACATGTGCCTGCAAGACCCCTGTCTGCAGGGGCCACAGGCTCCCGCGAGCAGGGGCCGATGACCACGCTCTGCCTGTGCTCAGCTTCTCGGCGTGTCCTTCAAGGACTGAATTTTCTCAGCCCCATAAAAACGAAAGTGACTTTATAAAATATGGACGTTGACTTCAATGTTGCCAAGCTACCCGACGTGCCTTGTTCCCTCCCTGAGCTGCTCCATCTGGGGACTCAGAGATCTCTGGGGTGGGAGGGTCCTCAGGCCATGCCACCTGGCCACTTGCTGCCCACGCCGGGATCAAGGGCTTGGGCGGAAGTCACTTGCCATGAGGGACACAGATTCCCCCAACCCCCATCTGCTCTCACTATGCCCCCACAAACCCCCTGGGTCTGCCCTCCCATGTGCTCCCCCCAGGCCCTCTTGGATCTGCCTTCACCGTGTGCCCCCCCAGGCTCCCCCCAGGTCTGTTCTCACTATGTGGCCCCCAGCCCCCCCCAGGCCTGCCCTCACCATGTGCCCCTTCAGGATCCCCCAAGTCTGCCCTCACTGAGTGCTCTCCCGCCAGCCTCCTCCCGGGTCTGCTCCCACTGTGTGCCCCCCAGCACCCCTCGGGTCTGCCTTCACCATGTGTCCCCCCAGCCCCCCCGCCGGGTCTGTTCTCACCGTGTGCCCCCCGTCCAGGCTCAAGGTCAGGCTCTTCAGGCAAGTCTCACTGTCCGTCAGGCCGCACCTGCGCAGCTCGGCCAGCACGGTGAAGGCACTGCTGTCACATGGCTGCGGACACAAGTCCTCATGCTCTGCCCGGAGACCCCTGCGTCCCCCTGCCCCCCGCTTGGCTCCATCATCCAGAAGACCCCGTGGGGCTGGCACCAGGAGCCGGAGTGGCCCCAGATGCAGCCACTGAGTGCAGCCTGGGCGGGGGCTCCCACGGCTGACAGCTGCTCTGCCCGGAGCGAGGACCCTGGGGCCCGTACCTTGGCCAACACGTAGCTGCAGTCTCCGTGCACCGTGTACTGCCTCTCGTCGAACGTGGAGAAGTGGGAGCCCCCCAGCACCGAGCAGGCTCCCGGGCACGGCACCTCCCGGCACGTCCACCGGCCACCGGAGCAGGTGCTGGGCGCAGGGAGAGACCGTCTGTGCGCGGCCCCGGGCCCCGCCCCCCCCCCCCGCCCCGCACCAGCACACGGACCAGGGTCCCGCCAGGCCCCCCGCGCCGCTGCGCAGCCACGGGCCCCAGCTGAGGGACGACGGCCAGCCCCTGGGCCGTGCCCCCCGAGGGGCCATCCAGCACGTGTGTGGGGAGGAGCAGGCAGGCAGGGGAGCAGCCCCTACCAGTTGGTGCAGCCTGTGGAGTAGACAGTCCCCGGGGCGTAGGCGGCCCCGTTGTACACGCAGGCGCACTGGGATGCCGGGATGCAGCCAGTCTGGCCAATGTCATCGAGCACCGTCCCTGCAAAAGCAGGTGGCCCGTACGGCAGGTGCTGGGCCGCGCCCACCACGCGAGCGTGTGGAGACTGGCCCCCCCACCCAAGGCCACCTGCCCTTCAGGGGCCCCTCAGATCCAAGGGTCCAGGATGCATCTGTGGTTCTCAGGGGGCCGGCGGGGGTGGGGCACCCTCTCACCCTCGGGACAGAAGCAGCCGGCCATGCAGTGCTCCTCGCAGAGCTGGGAGTGCTCCGGGTTGGAGCAGGTGTCTGCGCAGGGCGAGCCACACTCGCGGTACTGCATGTTGGAGGGGCAGGTCTGGGCTGCAGGGTGGAGGACAGAGTGGGGGAGGGGTCACGTCCTGCCCCCACCTCTGGGCCGAGGCAGGGCAGCACGGTGACGGGGCTGGGGCGGGCCGGGGCACTCACGGCAGAGGTCGGGGGCCCGCCAGTCCAGGGGCTGCCCCCCTGCGTGGGCGCACTGGCGGGAGTACTCGGCGACGGTGTGGCAGACGCAGCTGGTCAGGTCAGTGAGATGGCACAGGCAGAGGTCTTGCTGGCAGGCCTGCACGTAGCTGGCGGCGTCCACCAGGGCGTTGCAGCCCCAGAAGGGGTGGCTGCTCAGGAGCTCCTCACAGATGCCCTGGGGCCGAGCCAGAGGCCGTGCTGAGCCAGGGCCCCTGACTCCCCAACCCCCCCCTCCCCGGGCCGGGACAGAGCCCGCCGCCCCCGCCCCCATGTCCTCCAGGGCTTACAGTGCCCAGCGAGCAGCTCGTCAGCGGCACAGGCACAGGGTCCTGACACTGCTCGGTGGGGCCGTCCATCTTCTGCAGATTCCCAAACTCGATGGGGGTCAGCTTGACACCTGCAGCGAGCACGAGCTGTCCCCCAAGATGCCCGCGGCATCCCGGCCGCCCCTCTGCCCCCCCCCCACTGCCAGCTGAGGCAGTGGCCACAGGGGACGTTCAGAGTGTCTGAAGAGTAAGTGAGGAAACACCTAAGGCTCTCGGGGTTGCAGCTGAGGGCTGAGGCCTGTTGACTGAGGCCGGCATGTACCCCAGAGAGCTGGAGAGCGACCCCAGCCTCCTCCCTGCCCTCCGAGCCCAGCCAACCCCGTGCCAGGCCTGTGTGGCCAGGGTCACGGATGCGTGGGCAGCTCATCCCCCACGGCCGGAAGCCTCCTATGGGTGAGCCTCGTGTGGGACTTCGCGGGCCTGGCGAAGGGGACCTGGGGGTGGGGACTCCAGCCCGCGCGGGTCCCACTTCCTGGCAGCCAAGCCTGGAGGCCTGAGCAGCAGTGCGGGGGGCCTGATGGGAGGCTGGGCCGTCTCTCAGGTGGGGGCGCGCTTGTGCGACCGCAGCCCAGAGCGGCTGCGCCGGGAACAGGCGCCCGGATGTGCCTCCGGGGTCACACCTGTGTGTGCCGGGAGCGTGCAGGTGTGTCTGCGCCCACGTGGGTGCACGTGCGCACAAGCTGGAGACGCGTGGCCTGGGACTCCGGAAGGCCACGGGGAGGGGCCGGGAGCAGACACAGGGGACAGCCGTGGGGAGGGGCTCACCGTGGGAGAGGAACTCGTTGAAGACAGGCACGCCGTTGAAGTCTCCGCAGAGCCCGCAGGTCTGGTTTGAGTACTTGGCATCCAGCTCCAGCTGGAAGGGGGGGGACGTGTCAGCCACCTGGCCCCGCCAGGGACGACTCAGGACCGGAAGGACACACAAGGTGTGGGACATTTCCAAGGAGGGGCTGACACGGACCGGGAGCCTCCTCCGGCCCCCGCGACGCCACACAGGGCTCTGTGTCCTGGAGGAGACACCCCCCCACCCCCACCCCCCGCTCACACAGGGTCTGCAACAACCGGGGGAGGGGGGTGTAGATCCCAGCAGCCCCTTAGCACTGGGCCCCCCTCCTCACCCGCCCTCTGGGGTGGGGCTGACCTTCCCACCCACCTTTGCCCAGTGCACTTCCTTCCCTCTCGGGAGGCTGTTGGGCTGGAGACGCCCCCCGCCCAGCCCCGGGGCCCCCCCTCACCAGAAGGCTGCCGTCCTGGCCCCACATGAAGACCAGGCCCAGCCTGGCCACCACCTTCAGGTGGCCGCTGGTGTGCTCGATAACGACGCCGGACTGGCTAAAAGGCGGCTGGATTCTGCGGAGAGAGGGCAGGGCTGAGGCGCTGAGGGGCTTGCGGGATGGGGCAGGGAAGGCCCTTGCGCTCATGTGTGGGAGAAGAGCACGGTGCCCATGGATGGTGGCAGCAGGTGTGAGGGGAACTCTGTCCCAGGGGAGGCTGTAGTCCTGCGGCCACAAGACCAGGAGGGGACCACCTCCGGGGCAGGAAAAGAGCCCCGCGCCCCAACATGGGAGGGGCGGGCGGGTCCCACTCTCGGGCACAACCCCCCCCCCCACAGTCCCCCAGACTCACGGGCGGCCGTTGACCTGGATGGAGCCCTTGGTCAGCTGGATGACCATGCCGTCCAGCTTCATGGTGACCCCGACCGGCGTGCTGACATTGGACTCCAGGCCGCGGCGGACCTGGACGTTGAAGTCCTCGTAGGCGGCCCCGCAGTGCGCGGAGAAGACATAGTTGCACAGGCCCGGGAAGCGGAAGACGTCGCCGTCGAAGGTCTTGTAGTGGAAGTCGCCCCAGGTGCTGCACACCCGCCCGTTGTGCGCGGGGTTCAGGGCTGTGGGGAGCCAGGGCGGTCCTGAGGGGCGCTCCTCACACCCCCAAGTCCAGGACGCTGCTGCCCAAGGGCCGGGCATCCGGGGAGGAGCCGCCTGGACCCAGACATCCCAGCAACCAGGAGCCTCTCCCAGAGCTTCTCCAGTGTCCGGCGGGGAAGCGGGACCCCGTGCAGCTGCCCTCCCAGCCCGGCCTCACGGGCCCTCCCTCACCTCGAACCACCGGTGCGGTCCTCAGAGGGGGGAGGATGGTCACACGGCGCAGCTGGTCGCCTGCGGGAACAGGGGCATGGTGACACGGCACCTCACAGGAGGCTGGGGCGCGGGGCATCTCTGCTGCCCACACAAGGCCGCTGGAGGTGAACTCTCCAGGGCGCCCTGGGCTCTGGGCTCCGGGTACACGCAGGGCAGGGCAGCAAAGGCTCCTACGGCGGCAGCCTCTGCCTTGTACGCCCTCTGGGCCTTCCCGAAGGGCCGGGAGCTCTCAGCCCGGCACCCTGCATGTGGGACTTTCTCACGCCCAGAATCTCAAAGGCAGATTGTCTGGGTTTGCCCTGAAGCCTCCCCTTGTGTGGGGGGTGCCCGACCCTCTCCCGGGCCCACGCGCCCAGCGTGGCGGCACAGAAATACCCAGAGAGGCCACCTGCCAGCCCCGGCCCCCAGGCCACAAGGACGCATATGTGGGTGAAACATCGGGGGTTATGGGGAGAAGCAGGACGTTGCAGTGAGCTCAGGGGGGACCCTGGCCCGTCCTACAGACCGAAGCTGCAAAGGGAAGTCAAGCAGCCTTGAGGAGGGGGGTCCTGACCCCGGGTGGGGCCGCCCTGATGGGTGGGAGCCAACTCACCAGCGGGCTCCTGGGCGACAGGAGAGAGGTGCGGGTACTTGTGGCCGTGTTCCACAGAGCCTACGGAGGAAGAGAGGGTACAGAGACAGAGATGGGCGGACAGAAGGGCCCGGAACAGGCGGGGGTTTTCTCTGTGCAGGGCTGGGGACATTAGGAGGGTCCCTGTCCACGCCACCCACAGCAGACCCGTGGCTGAGCCATGACCCTCTCTGAGCATTCCCTCAGCCTGGCCCCCCAAGCTCTTGGTGGGTCCCCTGGCCCTGACAGGGAGTCTCCAGGAGCCCTTCATTCACTCTGAGTGTCCCCCTGCTCCGCACAGTGGCCCGCGGAGGGTCCAACGGTAAAGCCAGGCATCTGCAGGACGACTGGGAACAGACTGGGGGCTGTGGAGCCAACCGGGGTGACGCTGCACCATAAAGGCAGTGCTCAGGGTCACTGCATGGGCGGTGGCTCGGCACAGGGGCGCACGGGGCAGGGGAGCTGAGGGCTGGAGAGTCAGCCCCGAGGCCCCCTAGAACCTGGTACAGCGTGGAAGGCCAATCTCTGAGGCCCTCGAGGCCACGCCAGCATGGCAGGAGGGTGCCTGGTGCACCCCTGGCCCTGCAGGGGCAAGCTGCCCTCCTCAGTAGGGACTGGCCCCACACGCAAGAGCCTGGGGACTGCAGTGTACGGGCCACACAGGCCACCGTGGCGCAGTCCCCACTGTGCTGAGTGCCTTGGGAATACGGGCCCCTGGCCTGGGCGGCTCCTCCTGGAGCACACTGTCACCCCACGCCTGGCCAAGACCCAGGAGAGGCAGTGAGGTGCAGACCTGGTGGGAGGGGCCGCAGAGGGTCGGCGAGTCCCCCCCCCCAACACCCTTAGTGTGTGGGCCTCACCATCACACTCTCTGCCCAAGCCTAAGCCCCCATAAGGCCCAGATGGGGAAAATGAGCTGGTAAACTGGGGGTGCATGGGGAGGGGGAGTCCCAGGGACAGGTGGCGGGGGTCAGAGGCAGAGACCAGCAAGAGAACATGGGTAGAGGAACGCATTGGCTGCCAGCCGGCCTGCTGTGGGGGAAGGCAGGTGGCAGCTCAGAGACAATAGGTTCCTGCTTCCCCACCTCAGGGGAGCAGCCCAGCTCCAGAGACCCCTGCCCCCACGTGGACCCCCGCAGCCCCCGAGAGTTCCTCCCCAACCCCATAAGCTGGGACTCATTAGATGGCTTAGGGCCGGGTCGGGGGCCAAGCCGCTGGGCAGCCTCTCACGGACACACCTAGCCAGCCCGGAGGCCAGGGCAAGGCGTCTGAGCTGCCTGCTGCCCTCCCGGGGTGCGCCGGGATGCCAGGGCACAGCCAGGGCCAGCCTGCGAGAGCCGGAGACGGGGAGCCTCACCTGTGTGCTGGGCGCAGGCCAGGGTGAGAGCCAGGGCCCAGAGCGGGGCCAGCTTCCTCCGGCCGGCACCCATCCTGCAGAGGGAGGGGAGAAGTCCCGGGGGACAGCTGCTGAGGAAGGCCCTGAGCGGGCAGGAACCTTTTGTAGCCTCAGATCTGGCTCCGGCCCCAGTGGCTCCACGTGGGTGGGCGGGGCAAGGCCTGCCAACCCCCTCGCCCAGGTAAACAGTGGGCACTCGCTTGGGGCTGGGCAGCAGCCGGAGACAGGCAGGGATGGGCGAGGCCGCCGGGTGGGGCCTGGTTTCCCAAGGGCTCCCCAGGGCCCGAGCCCAGAGGAATCCTCCCGCCGCGCCCCACCCCCCTGCAGTTTCCCTGGGCGCACTTCTGCGCAGCCAGGCCCGCGAGCTCCTGCTGCCTGGAAAAGGACCTCACCCTTCTGGAGAGGGGCTCAGAGGGCCGCACCCCCAGAGGCAAGACCTTGCCCCACAGGGCAGCCCCCGGCTCGATGCTGCCCAGGACCCTGCCTGCTCAGCTCCAGGCAGGCAGCGGGCAGCCCCAGGCCAGCTCGGGTCACATGTGGCCTTGTGGCCGTGAGAGGTGGATGTGTCTGCACCCACTGGGCTGGGAGCCACCCACTGGCTTAGCCCAGCTGGGAAGGCGCTGTGGCATGAGCCCACGGCCCCAGATCATGGGTGTTTGAGTGTTGGGTCTTTTTGGGGTGCTGAGCACTGGGGCTGAACCCTCCCTCCCGGGCAGCCACATACCCCACCAATATCCGCAGCCTCACCACCTGCAAGTGGACCCTAACAGGAGGTCCCCGCCAGGGACAGAGGGGCTGATTATCTGAGAACATGCTTGCTGTCCTGGGGGCCCATCCCAAGCTCCTTACAGTCACCTGGTTTTGTCTCTTAGTCGTCCCTTGCCCGTGGCCCCTCTTGGCGCCGGTACCCATGAAAGAGAGCACCCGCATGTTGCTGGAGAGTGGGGTCATGGGGGTCATGCAGGAAGGAGTGTGTGAACAGTGAGGGTTGGTGTGGGAGATGTAGGAGCCTGATGGCAGTGGGGAGCCCATGGGGTCCCCAGGAGCTGGTCCTTCAGACGCTCTGACCACCCCCACTCCGGGCTCCCCTGCTCAGCCTTGGAGCCGGACACCTGGTCACCTGCGGCTGAACAGGGCAGGGGCTGGTACCCAGGGACAGGCAGGGTGGATGGGTCTGGTTCCAAAAGACTGCGTGGCTTTTGTGGTCAGGAGAGTGACCGGTGGAGTCTGATGCCTTGGGCAAGGCCTCGAGGGTCTGTGGGTGGGGGCCCAGACCCCAGGTCGAGGGGAGTGTGAGAGGTGGATGAGCCCGCCCTCCTCACACCTCCAGGAAGGCAGGGAGGTAACAGGTCAACCAATGTCCACGCTGCTGGCACTGGACTCAAGCCTGAGTTCACACGCAAGCCCCAGCTCATCTGAGTCACCAGCCTGGCCTTCGGGGGAGGGGGCGGGGGGACACGCCCTGTGTGCATGAGGCTGGACTGAGCCGCGCAGGCAGCGGGCACCCCTGGTTGCCCAGGGCTTGCAGCCCAGATGCCTCTAGGCCACAGCACGTCCCGTCCCCAGGGTTAACCTCCCTTCCGGGCACTTCTCCCATAAGGTGCTGCCCGGGGCTGCTGAGAGCGTCCAGGGCACTCTAAGTGCCCACACTGGTGTCAATGACAGCCTGGCTGCTCCGGCTTCCTCCGGGGACCCGGCCTGAACCTGCAGACCCAGCTACCATGCACTTTCCTGTCCTATGAAAATCCAGCCCCAGCGGACACCCCGGGAGCCCCCAGGCCTGGTGCCTGCTGAGTCTGAGCTTCTGGGGCTCTTGAGGTCCCCCCTGGGGAGGGGTCTGGAGTCAGGGCAGGTGTGGGACTGATAACCCAGCCTCAAAAGTCAAGGTCCTTCTGGGGCGCCTGGGGTCTCAGTGGGTTAAGTGCCCGACTTCAGCTCAGGTCATGAGCTCACAGTTCGTGGGTTCGAGCCCCTTGTTGGGCTCTGTGCTGACAGCTCAGAGCCTGGAGCTGCTTTGGATTCTGTGTCTCCCTCTCTCTCTGACCCTCCCCTGCTCATGCTGTCTCTCTCTCTCTCTCTCTCAGAAATAAATAAAAAACATTAGGAAAAAAAAAAAAGAAAAGTCAAGGTCCTTCTTCACCGTGACAAGGCGGGCCTAGGGCAAGCAGTTGCGTTTCTGACCATCCAGCGCCGTGGCCACCCTGCCCGCCACACCGTCCCCTCACTGTCTGTGCTCGGAGCCAAGGCAGGACTATGCTGCTGCAGAAGGGTGACGGCAGGGGGTCCCCGCAGCCCACAGTGACTCTGCCCGCCTGTTCCTTCTCAGGGGACTTTACACTCAGCGAGGGGTGGCCTGGGGGAAGGGCCAGGCTGGGACCAGCTGCTGCCTCTCTGAGCCCCAGGTTCCTCGTCTGAAAACAGGGTCCATAAAAATCTTCACATGGGGAAGGGACCGCAGGAGGGGCACCGTGCGCAGGGAGCAGGGGCGTGTCCAGGGACGGGCCTGGCTCAAGACAGCGGCCCCAGAAGCCTTTGCTGCCCTGGGGTCCCCAGGGGCTGCACGGCCTGGGCCCCTGCCAGTCCCCCGATCCGGAGCCTGGTGAAGGCTGCCTGCAGTCCAGGGAACCTTCTCGGGCCTGGCCGTCGGGACCGGAGGAGCAGCACGGAGGCCTGATGTCACCGCGCTCGCTCTGAGCCGCTCCGATTTGGGACAGGATGGGGCCACCAAACAGCCCTGTTTGTCATGGGAGGTTGGACCCGGGACCTGGCCTGAGCAGAGCCCTGCTGGGTGCAGAGGTGAGGGGGAGGATGAGGTCTGGGCTCCGGGGCCCCGGGGGGGCAGCATGTTCCCTGCAGCTCTGTCCGCAGGCACACGAGGTGACAGAGAAGCAGCCCCCAGCTCCCACGGGCGTGTCCTTGCCTGAGATAGAGCCCCTCCCCCCTATTCTTCTGATGCCCGTCAGCATAGGAGCCCAGCCCCTGCGCGGTTTCCACGCCTGCCCCCCACTGGGGTTCCCACCCTGTGCTTGTCATTTCCCTTCCAGTTTTGGGCACAGCCAAGGCCCTGAAGCAGGTGACGCAGAGAACTGTTGGGGTCGCTCGGCTGTGGCCAGCGGGACCTCGGGGGCAGCTCCCAGCCACGCTCCCCCCTGAGGCTGCAGGGCGGGAGCTCCATCCAGGGAAGGCCTGGACCCACTTCGGGCAGGAAAGGGAGACAGCCTCCTGGCTGTTCTCAAACTGGGCTCCGTGGGGCCGGTGGACAAGGAGGCGGGCACCGACAGCCCGGCCAGAGGGGCCAGGCGGCTGGGACCCAGGCCTCCCCGCCAACCGCAGGGGGGAGAGACCCCAATTCCACCCTCCCGTCTGGGGTGCACCCTGGAGGTCAACACCCGCACCCCCAAGGCCAGGCCTCCCCCGGGAAAAGGCGGGGCGTGGGCCAACATCCCAGAACAGTCACGCCTTCCGCAGATGCCCCCGGGTCCCGTTTGGCGGCCCCACCCCCGGCGGCCCTGAGTAGGGGGCCATCGGGCTCCAGCCAGCGCTGGCGGGAGTGCCGCACGCTGGCACACTTCTCCGGGGCTTCACTGTTTAATTCTGTCCTTTAGAAACCCGCACCCCTGACTGGTAGGGAGTGTGGTTACCTCCACTTTGAGGATGACACAGGTGGGAGGCGCCTGGCCCGGGCCGGGGCTCCGGACTCTGGGGGGAAGGTAGTGTCCTGGCCCCAGCACCCACCAGCTGTGTGGCCCGGGGCCAGTGCATCACCCTCACTGTGCCGCAGATTCCTATTCTGGACAGCAGTGACCACAGGACCTGCTGCTCAGAGACACGAATCAGCACAGCACCCTCCGAGCTTCATTTCGTCCCCAGAAGCTGCCTCCCGTGGGGCCCCTCTGCCCTCATGGGGTCTCCCACCCCACCCCCCGAGGTTTGGGGCGAGTCAGGGCCTTGCAGGAGCTTCCTCATCCCCTAAAACAGGGTGCCAACTCTGCACTGTGTCATCTCTTGGAACTCCCGCACATTGAATGAGTGTAGAGTTTGTGGCGCCTCCTACGTCAAATCTTGCGCCCTGGCGGTTACGCGGGCACCGCCTTCTCTCCGGGCGGTACCTGAGATCACGGCACAGCCCCGGATGGATGGTGGTACATCGTCCGGGGCCACAGCCCCGTCGGCGGCCCCACAGGACATCCCCAGGGCGGAGGGTGTGGTCCCACCAGCCCCCACCCAGCAAGCAGGTGCTGTGGCTGCTGGCGTCACGGATGGGGAAATGGGCAGCCTCGGACGGTCACTGCAAGTCTCAGGTGATAGGGAGCGATTTCTCAACAAGGACCCGCACAGCCTGGAAGAGGAAGTGGGCGGGGGCTCTGGGAACCACTGATAGAAGGATTATCTGTAGGTGCTGTTGACAGAAAGGGCAGGTTTGGGCCTCTCCAGGCCGGGAGCTTCCTCGATAAAGACAAAGACGACCCGGTCCCTCCCTGCTTTGGGGTGGGGGCCCGGGGAGAGCCCTCGGGCGATGCCCGCCGCTGGGGTCAGCCCCCCGGCCCCGGGGGGCTGAGCCCCCCACTGCCGGATGGGCTGGGGGTCAGGGGCGTGCTCTGCCACACAAGAGAAAGGGAGCGGAGAGTAAATTTGGTTTTCTGGTGGGGCTGCACTGATTTGAAACCTTCGCACACGTATTTATTAATCTGAATCACTGGGCAAACAGAATCCCTCCTGAGAGCGAGGCTGGCTGCCGAGGGCCGGGCCCCCAAGGCCCGAGGTCTCGCAGATGCACCAGCTCCCCTCCTCCCCGACCCCCTGAGGCCCGGCCCCGCTCCCTGCCGCCACCCCTGCTCAGGGCCCCACCCTGACCCCCACAGCCCCAGGGTCTGTGACAGAGGAGGAAGACCCTGTCCGCTGGGTCGTTCCCTGAAGGTGAGCACATCTGTGTCTTAGGGGCCAGGGAGCGGCCCATGCACTACCCCTCCTCTGCCCCTAAGGGGACCCTCATCTGCAGGGCTGTCTGCCCACCCAGGGCTCCAGGACCCAGGC